TTTTTATGACAATAATAAAAATAATCATAATACTTTTCTAACTTATTAATCGGATGGTCCTTCTAACTAAAAATTACATTATCCATTACATTTTATGTATCAATATAACGATTCATGTGTAAGTAAAATAATTTATAATTATATTGTACATTTACATATAGTCAAAATTTTTAAATATAATACACATTGGCTAATTTAAAATTTAAAATATTATAGACATACATATAATATATAAATTTTTATCTGTCTATGTGCATGTGTACATGATCGAATAGTAGTTTTTATTATTGTCACACTTAAAAGTTAATAATAACCATGTGTTTATTGTACATGAATAAGGTGCAAATGCTCAAATTTCACATTTTTTATGACTTATCAAAGTGCATAGACATGCAAAATCCAAAATTGCTTATATAAAAACATCTCAGTCTACTAACCCGTGAAAAATACAAAATCACCAAACTACACAAGTAATGAAGTAACCATGTGAAAATGCAAGCACCACATATAAAATCTCATACTCCCAATTCAATTCCAGCATGACATTTCAATTAATTAAAAAAAAAAGATTACCATAATTAAAAACTAAACGGATGTTGAACCCTACTCGGTGGCCGGGCGTACCCGTACATCGGAGGCTGGTTGTACCCGAAACCCTGTGGGTCATGGTACATGCTCCCGTCGTTCGGGTGGGACCCACCGAAGCCAAAAAAGGGCAAGCCCCCATAGAGCGAGTTGTGGCCCGACACCTTATCCACCATCGATCGGGACCTCGGGTGGATCTTGCAGAAGAAATCACGACAAACCCTCTCGTCGACTTTGGGCGGCTCGTACGCCTCGCATTTGTGAGGCTCGTTCTGTCCCGTTTCTTCTTCTCCCCGATCTTTTGCCCTCCTTCTGGTTTCGTCGGGGTGGGGCCCGGTGGGGTCCGCGAAGCAATCTCGTCCGTGGCGCCGATTGTTGTTGTTGTTGTTGTTGTTGTTCGATCGGTAGTTGTCGTTCGGGAGGAGTTGGACCGGTTTTCCGAATCTCGCTACTTTGTTGAGGAGGGTCATGGGGTCCACCGGGCCCTCGACAAAGACCAAGTTTTTCTCCACGTTGATGGAGATCGAGTCCACCCCTAAAAAGAAAAAAAAAATATTTATTTTAACTACATTTCATAATATTCATAATATAAATATGCTCCAACAACAACAGTTGTATAATTTTAAATACAAAATAAATAAGAAAATAGACGTTTATTTAGAAAAAAAAAAAAAATTAAAAAAATTACCAGGCATTTTCAATAATTTTTGCTTCAATTTCTCTGGACAACGATCACAGCAGCTTATATTGATGGACAAAACCTTGGCCTGCATAGGGAAATTTAAGATTCAATAGTAATTAATAAGCATTTTTTTTTTTTTTCAAAACAAAAAACAATAATATATGATAATCTGAAAGAAAAATAATTGAAAAAAATAAAAATAAAATAGATTAAACTTTACCTGATCATGATAATATCGATGATTCTCCATTGAAAAAGAAGAAATTTTCTTGGGGAGATCGAAACAGCACAAACTTTATTGACTGGAATTTATTAAATTAGTAAATAGCAAATTTCCATGTATTAAATATGGCAACAGC